ACTAGAGCGGGAAGCCGAACGCATTTCCCAGTTTGCTGGTAAATATGAAAAAAAAAAATTGTTTCAAGCCAAACCCAACACAAAATGTTACAAAATTTTCTGCGAATCAAAAAGTTAAAAAAAAGAATCATCGTGGGTGGAAGGAAATGTTTTGTTTCTGACCACTTTTATACATTTTTGATTTGTTTTTTAAAAAAATAAAATTCATGCAAATGTTGGGGGGGAGGGAGGGGAGTCGTTTTTGAACCAAAAAAGCAAAACATTTAGAGTTTTTCTGAATGTCTTTGTTTGTTTTCAATCAAAACCATTTGCCAAAATGGACACAAATTTGCCAAACGTTCGGTGTCACCGAATCAGCATTGTTCACCAACCAAAAGTTTTGGATGAAACATTTCGCCCAGCCTGACTCACGACACCCCCCTTCTTGGGCCTCGCTCCCCAGCATGTGCAATCATTTGCCCCCAGGCGACGTGGGTGCAGAACGCTACCATTCCAGTCAAATAAAGCAGGGCATCCATTTTGCATTGGCATAAGTGATGGCACTAGGAGCAGGTCAAGCAGCGCGGTGATGGTGCCTCAGCGCCCCTGTGTGGTTTCCATGAGTCTGAAGGAACCAGGATCCTCTGACTAAACTGGGAGGAGTGGTAGATACGCTGGAGGGGAGGGATAGGATACAGAGGGACCTAGACAAATTGGAGGATTGGGCCAAAAGAAATCTGATGAGGTTCAATAAGGATAAGTGCAGGGTCCTGCACTTAGGATGGAAGAATCCAATGCGCTGCTACAGAGTAGGGACCGAATGGCTCGGCAGCAGTTCTGCGGAAAAGGACCTAGGGGTGACAGTGGACGAGAAGCTGGATATGAGTCAGCAGTGTGCCCTTGTTGCCAAGAAAGCCAATGGCATTTTGGGATGTATAAGTAGGGGCATAGCGAGCAGATCGAGGGACGTGATCGTTCCCCTCTATTCGACATTGGTGAGGCCTCATCTGGAGTACTGTGTCCAGTTTTGGGCCCCACACTTCAAGAAGGATGTGGATAAATTGGAGAGAGTCCAGCGAAGGGCAACAAAAATGATTAGGGGTCTGGAACACATGACTTATGAGGAGAGGCTGAGGGAGCTGGGATTGTTTAGTCTGCAGAAGAGAAGAATGAGGGGGATTTGATAGCTGCTTTCAACTACCTGAAAGGGGGTTCCAAAGAGGATGGCTCTAGACTGTTCTCAATGGTAGCAGATGACAGAACGAGGAGTAATGGTCTCAAGTTGCAGTGGGGGAGGTTTAGATTGGCTATTAGGAAAAACTTTTTCACTAGGAGGGTGGTGAAACACTGGAATGCGTTACCTAGGGAGGTGGTAGAATCTCCTTCCTTAGAGGTTTTTAAGGTCAGGCTTGACAAAGCCCTGGCTGGGATGATTTAACTGGGAATTGGTCCTGCTTCGAGCAGGGGGTTGGACTAGATGACCTTCTGGGGTCCCTTCCAACCCTGATATTCTATGATTCTATGACCTTACTTCAGCATAACACAAGCAATACTGTCATGCTGGACACACAAGCTAAGGCCCCGATCCTGCCCTGAAAACCACCTGGTCGGACTTCTGCACCCAGGTGGACTCCCATGGGGTTCCTTGCAAGCACAGGGATTTACCCGTGCAGGTTCAGGGCCTAAAACGAGCAGACAGCAGCATGGGGCAGTCACGGCTTCTGCTCATTTAACACCAGTGAGAACTAGACAAGGTGGGCGGCAGTTTCAATGGGATAGTCCGTCTCTTTGGGTCTGCAGCCTCCACCTCCTACCTCCTCCCAGAGCTGGTTACAGTTCTAGGCACTCTGAAGTTATAGATCTGATGTGTGGTGTGTGTGTGTCTGTCTGTCTGTCTGGGAGAATAAACATGCTGCAGTGTTAGAAAGACATCGTGTGTTAGGTCCCAGTTGCTGCTGATCGTTATTAATAACCAGGAGGGCAATGTGGGGGTAGCAGAAATAATCCGGCATCTTCAAATAATGGGGTGATCTACTCTTGGAAATACCAGACATGCCCCATCCAGTGTGATTTCTGTGCAAATACCTGCCAATGGTACCTATCACCACCACAGCCCATCCCCCCGGGAGGCGTTCACTGCCCATGTTATTGGACTCTTTCACAGTATAGACGACAGCAGCCCTTGAGCTGGGGTTGCAGGATGGTAATTATTTACTCCTACAGACATGCTGTTTGTCAGATACCTACTCTTGTCTTCCATGGGTAAAATCCTTCAGCATTTCTTAGAGCATTTACCTTTAGAATTGAGAAAACAGAACATCTATTGTGGGCTCAGAGAACTTAGGAGATCCACATGCTTTGATATAGTCTTAGCATGAGTTCTAGCAAGGCACCGTTACAGAGCATGAACTTTATGAAGATTAATTCATTTGAATTCTAAATATCCAGTTTATTTTGTAGCCGAGGACAAATGGAAGTTAATCGCTATGCCCTGTTTTATCTCTGCAGTTTTGGGAGCACAGTTATCTCTGTACCCGACTCAGCGATTCCTGTTTGTCGAAATTAGTGCTACGGCAAAGATCCCCTGTTCTTCCAAAGAAAAACTGGAAGGAGGTGGCATTTCGGTTTATTGGTACAGGAGAAGAGAAGGTGAGGGGCCCACCTGCATCAAGAAATGCTTAAACGATCAAAATGTAAGTAAGTTTGCTTGCAAACCCGAGACACGCGGCATGACACTGGAAATCTACAATGTTCAGCAAAAGGAGTCTGGTGACTATTACTGTGCAGTTAAATCCAGCAGCTATCTGATTTTTGGCAATGGATCCACACTGATTGTTGGAGGTAAGGAAAGATAATGGTGTAACTCGAGGGGAAAAGTGATTAACAATGCAGAGATGTTAAAAAAAAAACATCCCAGGAAAATGGAACAATATAGTACAATTTTCAAAGCTGAAATGGTTGAAAAGGGGAAACTAAGCTAAAAAATGACAACTAAATGGAGCTGGTAAGAGCCGATTTTGCAGTTTTGGGGGATTCAATTAAAAATGTTCCTTTAATGGTCAAATATGACAGGGTTTATTTTAAAGAGCTCCTGAATAATAATAAACAACCCACCTAGTACATACTTAGTGCTTTCCACCAGTAGATCTCAAAGCATTTTAGTTTTAGTCTCATCACTATTTATAGCTGCCAGACTGGGGATGTTTTTGACTTAACACCCATGAATGCAGTTAGTCAAATTTATCCTTTTGTTTTTGCAGAATTTTTTACTTTGAGTCAATCCCCATATCATGAGATTAACATTCCTAAAAGCCGGTCAGTTACACCAGTGTAATTGTATTGACTTCAGTGGAAGTGTACAATTGTAACAAAGTAAAATTGGTGCCCTTAATTAGATAATAAACAGCCGGCAGGTCTGTAGTGAGTCAGACACAGGATGGAACAATAAATTCTCTGCTCAATTCTGCTCAGACAGCTACACCACCAGCAGCTGGGTTTTGCTTCTTGCTCCATCTCTCCCTGGTCTCATCTCCACTGGGATGGCTGATCTGGCTTGCATTGTCCACGGAGTTTCCAACCCAGTCCAAATTTCCTGGAATATTTCTGGGGATCGGCAGGACCAGGCACTAATGCGATCACAGAAAGCAAAGGATGGATCCTTAATGTTCATAAGTCACCTTAGCATCCCGAAGGACACCTGGACCAGTGCAAAAATTCTCACCTGTGAAGTAAAATTCAACTCTTCTGGCAACAGTGTTAAGAAAAGTGCCAGGTATATTGAACGTGAGTGGTTTTATATTTGCTTCTGGAGTTAGAGGGGAGTAAGATCTAAGCTATAGCCATGGGAAACGCCTTCAGTCCAAGCTGCTTTGAAATGATAAATTAAAATAATAAATAATTGGTCATCATGGAAAGCTGGACTGTATTAACCTTTTAGTTAATTAGGTGTAGAGAGACTTGCAATGAACTTTGAGAAGGGAAAGTGCAAGAAAATGCCACTCTTCTTTCTGAGGCTATGTCTACACTAGGAGTGCTTTGCTGGTGTCGAAATACCAGTATGCTATACTGGCAAAGTGCTTCCGGTGTGGATGCAGCTACCCCTGGGAAGGTGTGCTTTGTACTGGTATAACAAAGCCACTCCCAAGAGGGAAACAGGCGGCACTGGTAAAAGCCTACAGTAGGGGCATCTGTCAGTGAGGGATCACACCTCTTCACACCTTGACGGGAATAGTTATGTCGGCAGAAGTCTGTCGTGGCCTGAACCAACGTGCACAAAAAGCCCATGTGTGAAGTATGTTCCACGGTGAAATAGTACCAAATATCCCTGGGAGAGGTGCTGTCACGGGGCACAGAAGGGAGAGGAGTGGCAGAAGCCGCAGCCTTCTGGTAACAGGCTAAATCACTGACCCAAGGGAATATTATTCATTGGACTAATGAAAACGGAGAGTGAAATGGATTGAAGGCTCCTGCTGGTTTGTTCTGCAGAGCTAAAAACTCAAGGTGAAACGTTACACAGTAGAGCTGGTGGGGAATTTTTCAATTAACCTTCTTGTGCCAAGAAGTGTGAATTTGTCAAAACTAAAACAGTTCAGGAGACAGGGTCAGTTTGGACAAACCTCTCATCTTGACAAACTTTTGGAGGAAAGCTTCAAAATCGTGGAAATGTCCCTTTCTATGTTGCTGAACAGGAAAGTTTCCATTTTTCAAGTGAAATCTTTTCATGGAGATGTTTTAGTAAATTCAGACTAAAAATAGGTTAAGAAGAAAAGGTCAAAATTGAAACAAAATATTTTCATTGACCCAAAACCGGTGTTTGTTCCTATGTTTGTTTTGGAGTTTTGGGTCACAGGCATCTGAGATACCGATTTTTTCTCCCGATTTGGGACGGGAACTTTTTTCAATATTGGGAGAATATTCATCGGACTAGCAAACTGTGTCCTGCCCAGCTCCTTACATGCTGTGCAATCATGACCTCCTCTACTCAAGTGAGCCAGTTGTGTCTGCTTCCTCCCCAGGCTTTGACAATGGATGCTTTCAGTACGCCGTACCCCTGGCAGTAGGGGGAACCCTGGTGCTGTTGATGGTGTCTCTGAGCCTTGGTTGGATTTGCTGCCCTTCCACTCAAGGTAATGAACACAGCTCATCCCAGAAACTCCTGCAGAGCGAAATCCTATTCCCATGCGTCACCCCAGGGCATTATTAGCTCCTGGGATGACTGAACACACTGTATATTAGACAAACACCTGTCAGGGATGGTTGATAATACTTAGTCCTGCCACCAGTGCAGGGGACTGGACTAGATGACCTCTCGAGGTCCCCTCCAGGCCTACGGTTCTCTGATTCTGTTTGTCACACTGCCTGATCTCGGTAGCTTTGTTTTCCAAGGATCTGATTTTCCATTGCCCTGCAGCATGCCTGATTCTTCTCTCACCCACCTGCTGTGAATCCGGTCAACCCCATTAAAGTCATTGAAATTACTTGGGTGCCAAACTGGTGTAAAGGGGTGGGGATTTGGGCTCCTGGGCTGGTTCATGTAACCCTGGGCAAGGTGTGTTTAAAACGCTACCAGATCAGAGCAGTCCTGATCGACTCCGATTGGTGCTGCTAACTGGACGAGGCGCAGGGCAGCCCGAATCAGGCCCTACCGCTGGAACTTGTTTCCTGCCTCGGGAGAAAGGTTTGATTTTGGTGACGAAGGGAGGCGATGGACCCATGGAGCTGCTGTGGGTGGAAGGGAACATTTTCAAAAGTGACTGAGGGCCAGATTTTCAAAGGTCTTTAGGCACCTAGAGACACAGAGAGGTGCCTCGTGGGATTTGCAAAGGCACCCGGGCACCTAAATCCCATTGACACCAATGGGAGTTTGGCACCTCACCTGCTGCGGTGCTTTCAGAAATCCCTACCTGCATAAACACACCTTTGAAAATCTAGCCCTTATGAGCATTGACTTTCAATGAGACTTAGTCCAGGTCTCGACTTGGAAGGTTTTACTGCTGCAGTCGCATCCCGATGGCAAAGCGTCCCTAGTGTGGACACAGCTGATACCAGCAGAGCTGAGTTTTTACCAGTACCGATTATTCCAGTTCCCCCAGGCGAGAAAAGCTACACCGGGAAAAGTACAGTTTTGCTGGCACAACTGAGTCTACACTGGGGCGTCTGCCAGCACAGCTGCGTCAGTCGGGGCTTACGCCTCTTTGTACCCTGCCCGACAGCGAGGCTGGCAGAAGTCTGTAGTGTAGACCTGGCCCAAGTCCCAGTGACTTTCAGTGAGACTAGCTCTCCCAAGGGCAACATTTTCAAAAGCACCTAAAGGACGTAGGTCCCAATGGGAGTTGGGCACCTAAATCTTTTTGAGGATCTGGTCCTTGGTTCCTTAGGTCGGGGTGGCCAACCTCTGGCTCCGGAGCCCGATGCAGCTCTTCAGAAGTTAATATGCGGCTCCTTGTCTAGGCACCGACTCCGGGGCTGGAGCTACAGGTGCCAACTTTCCAATGTGCCGGGGGGGGTGCTCACTGCTCAACCCCTGGCTCTGTCACAGGCCCTGCCCCCACTCCACCCCTTTCCGTCCCCTCCCCTGAGCCTGCCATGCCCGCACTCCTCCCCCTGCCCCAGAGCCTCCTGCACGCCACGAAACAGCTGATCGGGAGGTGCGGGGAGGGAGCAGGAGGTGCTGATCAGCAGGGCTGCTAGTGGGAGGGAGACGCTGGGAGCGGGGCTGGGGGGAGCTGAGGTATTACTGTGGTTCTTTGGCAATGTACATTGGTAAATTCTGGCTCCTTCTCAGGCTTGGGTTGGCCACCCCTGCCTTAGGTGCTTTTATTCAAGTTATTCCTGGTCCATATTTTGTCAAGTTTATCGGTGCTAAATCTCTTAATACAACCGTCCATCTGTTTGCCCTGTGCTGGGCACAACGGAGCAATGCCCACACACTGCGCGGGGGCCCCGTTAGTCTGTATGCCTCCTTTTGGGGAAATGCCAATGGAACAGGACCTTACAAATGTCTCTGTCTGTGTCAGGATTCCAGGCCCGTCGCTCAGCACCGCCAACCCTGGAGGAGCACCAGGTATGGCGCTTTACCAACTTTCTTAGTCACTGTCCGTATGAGACATTTTAAATGTTCCTATTCACTTAGGGGTCTAGATGGATTGATCCATAAAGTGGGTTTAAAGGCAAAAGTAGCAGAATGGGGGCAGGGGAGGGAACTGGCCTCTATCTTAATGCTGTGTGTGATGTTGGGCAAGTCCCCAAATGGCTCTGTGCCTCAGTTTCCCCATCTGCAAAATAGAGAGAAGCAGGGGAATTCTGGGAGGTTTCATTCATCGTTTCCACCTGTAAGATCTTCAGAGCAGAGTCTGTCTCATTATATGAGCAGGTCATTAGCCCTTAACAGAGAGAGGAAAGATGGTCCAATGGTTAGGGTACTAACCTGGGACTTGGGAGACCTGGTGTCAATTCCACTACAGATTCCCTGTGTGACATTGGGCAAGTCACTTAGCCTCACTATGGCTCAGTTCCTCTCTGTAAAATGGGGAAAATAACCCTGCCCCACAAGGGGTCGGGAATAAAGACATTAAAAATTGAGGTGCTCAGATTCTAGAATAATGGGGGGCAGATAAGGACCATAAAGAGAGAGAAATAATATTTCAAAGCTCTTTGATATTTGCAAAGGAAAGGCCCTGTAAGAGCAAAGTTTGCCACTAACCAACCAAGTTCTTAAAGTCAGATTCCAGGGATCATTTCCAATTTGACAAAACACCATCGATAGGGAAGGCAGAGGAGGAAGAAGAATTTTTAATCAGGCCTGGGGAGGCTAAGCTCACTTGGACGGTCAGTCCTGTCACAGTTGCTACCAATCCATTTTACACGGAGGGGGGCTAATGTTACTTCCTGTCACCATGCAGGATGGGATCGTATACTGTCAGCTGGATTTTGATTCAAGGCAGCATGGCCGGAGCATGATGGAGCGACCGGCGAGAGGGAAGAGTGAAAAATCCTGACCTACCTGGTTCGGGGGATCTGAACTGGCAACCTGACTGCTGATCCAAATGGGATGAGCTGGATTCTTCCTGGGTCCCAGGGCTCATCTAGGCTCAATCTCTGCGGTGATCGAGCAAAATGGGTAGAAAAACCAAATTAGTTAAATTAGTGTGAGCCCTGCATAGGGACCCAGCTTTACAGCTAATGAAAAGGCATTGGGGTTAGTTATATTGTTCCTGTACAAGCAATGCCAATAAACACCATTTGTAACTGTGTACACACTAAAAAGAAAAGGAGGACTTGTGGCACCTTAGAGACTAACAAATTTATTTGAGCATAAGCTTTCGTGAGCTACAGCTCACTGCATCGGATGCATTCAGCCTACACAGAGCTCTTCAGGTACACACTGGGGCTTGCATAGATTTAACACAATCGTTTCCCTCCGAGTTAGTTAAACTGGTTCAGAAATGGGATGGTTAGATACCCAGCTGGTATAAGTTGTCATAGCACCATTGCTCTCAGTTCACACCAGCTGGGGATCCAGCCCTGCCTGTAAACTAGCCTCTTCTTCTTTCATTCTTTCATTCACTGCTGGGAACACAGCCAACCGGCCTTTACCCTCCTGCTGTACCACTGGTAATTCCCATGGGTTTGCCATATGGTGGTATGTCATAGAATCATAGAATATCAGGGTTGGAAGGGACCTCAGGAGGTCATCTAGTCCAACCCCCTGCTCAAAGCAGGACCAATCCCCAATTAAATCATCCCAGCCAGGGCTTTGTCAAGCCTGACCTTAAAAACTTCTAAGGAAGGAGATTCTACCACCTCCCTAGGTAACGCATTCCAGTGTTTCACCACCCTCCTAGTGAAAAAGTTTTTCCTTATATCCAACCTAAACCTCCCCCACTGCAACTTGAGACCATTACTCCTTGTTCTGTCCTCTTCTACCACTGAGAATAGTCTAGAACCATCCTCTCTGGAACCACCTCTCAGGTAGTTGAAAGCAGCTATCAAATCCCCCCTCATTCTTCTCTTCTGCAGACTAAACAATCCCAGTTCCCTCAGCCTCTCCTCATAAATCATGTGTTCCAGACCCCTAATCATTTTTGTTGCTCTTCGCTGGACTCTTTCCAATTTATCCACATCCTTCTTGTAGTGTGGGGCCCAAAACTGGACACCGTACTCCAGATGAGGCCTCCCCAATGCCGAATGTCATACACAGCACATGCCTGCAAAGCCACAGAAGTACTCGTGTAGGATCGCTGTGTACTGTGGATCATTGTGACCTTGCATTTTATCCACGGTTGCTTCAAAAGCATGGCTGGGATTTGGCCACACAACTTCCCTTCACGTCAATTGAGATAATCTCATCGTAATTAAGGCTCAGATTTGGTCGCAGATATTTTTAGTAAATTCACGGAAGCCTGTGACCTGTCTGTGATTTTTACTAATAAAATATCCCTCACAAAATGGGGAGGGAGGAGGGTCCAGCACCTGCGGCAGCTGGGGGTTCTGGAACCCCTGCCGCCCACTGCATCTGAGCCACTGCAGGGTCCACCCGCCGCCAGCAGGAGTCAGGAGCTCTGGGGTCCCCCTGCTGCCCACTGGCTAGGAACGGCTGCGGGCCCACTGCCAGCAGTGTCTGAGAGCTGCAGGGCTGCCTGCTGACAGCTCCAGCCCCAGGGCAGAAAATGTCACTCACAGAGGTCTCTGGAAGTCATGGATTCCATGACCTCTGTGACAGAATAGTAGCCTTAAGCATAATTCCTGGGATTAGATTAATTTTAAATCTGTGCTGCAAAGTCTCAGCCTTGTTGTAAAGGATCCAAGACATGGGAAGCCAAAACAAACATGCCCTCTTTAAGAAGGTCTCAGGGAAGGAGAAAGCCTTAATAAACTTCACAAGGCCCCGGTTCACAACTTCTAAATATAAGAGTCAGCAAACAAAATCTCTGGGCCCATCCAGGCTAATCTCCAGGAGCTAAGAGAAGCTGCAGCCTGCATAACTTCTAGTCCCCTCCTTCCTGCTCAATTTCCTCTTCCTGTTTAAATAGCCCAGCCCTAGGGCAAGGTACGGGGATCCTTGATTGTACCCAGCCTGACTTCAGCAGTCCTCTCCAGACAGTTCCTTCAATGGGTAGTGAACCCTGCCGTGCCTGTCTTCACTGCAAAGTTCACTTGTGTTAGAACGTGATTGTTAACTCAACCCCCATCCACACACAAAGAACCCTTTCTCATGTGTGGAGGTGCTAGTGACATGCGCTGGCTGGCCCAGCTGGGAGTACAGGCTAATGCCCTACTGAGCACAACTTTGTCATCTGCTAACATGACCATTCTGTAGCGTGGATACAGGCTAGGGCTGTGACTCAACTCCTGAGGGCTCCTCGTCCTCCAGTGTCTTCCCACAATTCCCCTTTGGCTGCCTGTCCTTGCCATCTACCTGTTCCCTGACTGGAAGTCACCTATCAGTTCATATGGGCCCCACTTACACTGCGGGAACACTGAACTCCTATTGAACGCTAATCCATTTTATGGGTTGTCGCGGGAAGTGGGAATATTTAAACCCAGCCTGGACTCACCTCTGGAGTAGAGGAGAAAATAATACAGCCCAGGCTTCTCAACTCAGACAGCTGGAGGGCAGGTCTCTTGCACCAATTGACCAGCTTTCCCTGGTAAGGTTGCCCTGCCCCTTGTGCAATCCGTTACCCCAGTGCAAAGTGAGCGCGATCAAAGCGTTTTCACGCCCTCTGATGGCACAAGCTGCAGGATGATGGTGAAACAGGCCCCAGGAGAAGAAGCTGTTGGGGGAGAGAAACATTCTGGAAAGTCTTGACACGAAATGAAACACCAGATTGAACAAAAATGCTATTCCCGGCACTTAGTCTTTCTTCTTATTCTTTATATCTTTGTCTGTGTTACTTCACTGGCATTTAGAACTGGCCTCTCTAGCTAACTGCATGCCCAGTAAGCAGAAGTGCTGCTAAAATGGTCCCATGTCAGCACCTGGTGTTGCGTTCGCTATCATGATGCTACACTGGTCCAATTAAAGGACATCCTAATTTAGGGGAATGTACTGGACAATACAATACTTTATGTAGAAATGGGTCCGAATATAAGTGTACTCTTCCGCCCTCTAGTGGTGATTGGGCCACATATACAGGTTGACAGCCCTACTCCACCTTTAGGTAATAAAACTATCTGTTAGCTCCTATGGTAGATGCTCATGCTTTTAGCGCCAGAGGTCCCGAGGTTTGATTCTTGCTGCCGACAACCCACTCGGGTGGGGGCAGCATCACACAAGCCAGGATCTAAATCAGAACTTCCTCAATAAACTGCTCACAAAGATTCAGCTCTAAGGTTTTAGTTCAGGCCCAACACTAAATTCAAGTTAATTTTTAACTCCATTTTCTCTTGACAGGTTTATGGGAACATTTTCTTGAGACTAGAAGTTGGGGCTGTTGGTCCCGGCTGATCCAGCCAGAAAGAGCAGGGTCGGATGGTGTCTTTGGGAAAACTGTTGACTTAGGATTTGGTCTTTGTGTCGGCTGGGGAATTGTATGTTTCACATTATGTAAAATAAAAGGTGCAAATATGATTTGTGCTCTTCAGGGGGCTACAGCGTTTGTGAAAATAGATGGCGGAACCCCCTCCCCGCCCCAAGATTTAAATTCTCAGATGAGTGATCAAAAGACTAAACCACGCTGCAGAGCTCTCTCTGCAAAGCATGAGAAAGCAGTAGTGGTCAGAAAGGTCAACGCAGCCGGAAGTTTGTTGTTTACTGAGACTTTGGCTGTAACGTATTTGTGGTTTGTTTAACCCACAGGCTCACAGCTTCTGAGTGTAGATTTTCCAACTAGCAAAATACCTTTGGTTTGCTGCAGTTTTTCACTAAATGTACTTGGTCAAGAATAAAGACTGGAACGGATCCTTAGCTGGTGAAAATCAGCCAGAGCTCCTTTGGAGTCAACGGGCCAGAGCCCCAGCTGGTATAAATCAGCATTGCTCCACTGAAATCAACGGGGCTAGATCCCCAGTTGGTGAAAATCGGTGCTGCTCCACTGTAGTCAAGGGACCAAATTCCCAGCTGGTGCAAATTGCCATCGTTCCATTGGAGTCGAGGGGCCAGATCCCCAGCTGGTGTAAATCAGCATTGCTCCATTGAAGTTGATGGGCCACATTCCCATCTGGTATAAATTGGTGAAGCTCCACTGAAGCCGATGGGCTAGATCCCCAGCTGGCATAAATCAGCGTAGCTTTATGGAAGTCGATGGAGCAATGAGAATTTACTCCAGCTGGGGGCCTGGCCCCTTAGCTCCATTTTCCTTTCAATTAGTTGGCAGATCACCCGGCCCTTGTCCCGCATCAGTCTGGGCATCCCACACGCAGGCAACATCCATAGCTGGAGCGCCTCTACACACTGAATTCTGCTCCGGGGTCTGCCTGTCTCCTGCTCAGCACGGATGCAGCCCCTGCCTGCTCCCCGGGGGGAGGGGAGCGGCTGTCCGACAGGACTTACTGTATCATGGTCATGCAGAATGACGATGCAGCAGGTACCTTGCGGGTCTGGACTCTGGAAACAGGAGTAGCTGTTCTGACGCGGTCAGTGCCGATGGGGGGGTCTGCAGCTGGGCTCTGCAGTGCAGTGGGCTCGGACGCCTGGCACCGGGCGGCCAGCGTTTCCACACTCACAACTCAGAACGTTGCATCAGCAGCAGCAGAGCCTCTGCCCGGTTTTCACGTCTAGCCCCGCTACTGAGCGGACCTCCTGCATCGGAGAGTGGCGCAGGCTGCTCACACAGGGCAGGAATTGTCCTGGATAGCTCAGCTGCTGTTTCTCTAATCAGTCGGCCCCTTCAGGAAGTCACCCCGTGACCTTGCTGCTCATAGTCACAGCCTGGTCCATTTTACCTGCAGCCTTCCTCACCTCCAACACTGGTAACCCCCTGTAACTCTCCCTACGCAGGGCCGAGCCAAATGACAAGCTTAACAGTAAGCCCAGCCATATGGCACTTGGAGGAGCCTCTCTCTCCTCACGCACGTTGAATCACTGATGTGGACAGGACAAGCCACTTCTTTACCAGATATCGCTTTTCACAACAGACATTCTGATTGATGACGGAGGGTCAGATCCTGGCATAACTCCACACGTTGACAGCCGCTGGAGATCTGGCTCAGTGCGTGGTCAATCCACACGTGAAAAGCGTAGCTTATGCCTGTCACCATAGCTGGTCATTTGGTTATAAGTGGAGAAAATATTCTCATTGCACGGTTATGACTGTGCTGAGCGCTCCACAATGGGCTTAAGGAACCAAGTTAGAACATGGATTCATAGATCATGAGGCCAGGAGGGACCACTGAGATCATCTGGCCATAAGACCTCCCTGAATTAATTCCTGCTTGCTCTAAAACACGGGTGAGTGCGGGTGGATGGGGGTTTGCCCCTCCCCATGCGAGAAATCCATGCTGGGCCACTGTTAAACTCGTAGGGGTTGATTGTCATTTACATCAAGGGTTTTGCATCACTCAGACTGTGTAAAGGGGCCTTAAAATGCAGGTTAATAATATATATGCTCATTTCAGGCTCCTTTACACCACCAGAGCGGCAGAGAGGGACTTAGTGGCAACAAGGAGGCCTATTGCATAGGCTGGCAGTATGGCTGGGGTGTTAGTGTATCTCATTTATATTTTTAGATAGGAGTTATACATATTTTGTTTTTCAAAGCTGTAAGCACGTTAACTGAGCTCATGGCCTGTGTCTGTGCGGTTTCCTACCTCACCCCACTGTAAGAGCAACAGCGCATTTCCCATGAAATGAAACTGGCTCTTTGAACAAAGCAGAACTCGTCGAAAGGCTGGTGCTGCACACTCTGTGTCACAGACGTCCCGGCCTACGTGACCTTTCAGCGCTGGCTCTCGCAGCCCAGCCTGGCCCCGCAGGACCCCCCCGGGCTGTACAGCCTCTGTACACACACCCAGCCTGCCGCTGGCTTAAAGCCGCAAGGGTTTGCTACAGCTGCTGCTGCCGGTGATAATGATAACATCTCTGTGATCCTGTATTCTGCTTCTGATATTAAACCCGCAGTTCCTTTAGGGTCATTCCTTGGCTGGTTGTGCTTCCGATCACGCCTGACAGCAGGCGGGGTCTATATTTCATATGATTATTCTCCATTACATTTGGGTCCCTTTACATTACACAGTTCAGGCAGTGAATTAGTCATGCCCCCTTACGGGCCCCTTGACCCTACCAGGGCAGCGCTTAATTTGTAATGAAAGAGGTGCTGGGGATCAAGCAATTAGGTGCCGGGACTCAAGTAATTTTTTTACTTTCATAACTGATGCAGCAAGCTCAGAGATGCCGGGGCGATGCACTGCCAGGCCTAGAGGAAACAGGGCTCAGCCTTGGCCCAAATTAAGCCCTGGTAAAGGGGCTTAGTGCAAATGAGAATCAGGACCCCCAGACTCATTGGAAGAGGCTCACGTTGTAATGCAGATAAGACCATAGAAATCCTAAAGCTATGCAAGCATAATGGCCCAGATCCTCAAAGGTATGTAGGCACCTAACACCCATTGATTTCAATGGAAGTTAGGAGCTTAAATACCTTTGAGGATGTGGGTCAGTGTCTCCCCAGCATGGCCCCTGCCTACAGAAAGGACCTGTCATAACTTCCAATTGTACAGTGCTTTCAGGATTCCAAAGCCCTCTGGACTTGGGCTGTGGTCCTGCAAGCTGGTGAGCATCCTCCCCTACTTTTGACCTCAGCACATCACAGCGGGGGCCTCAACAGCCTATAGGACAAGGCCTTTTAACGGTCTATAGGAATTCTGTCGGCCACCAGCAAAACGGCTTGGAAGGTCGGAGCTGGCTAAGGGCCCCCCAGCAACCCTGCACTGCAGCTCAGGACAGGAAGTGAAGATGCATCGTGTACCCGGTTGCAACAACCACCTGAGTAGGCTGACGTGTACCCACTCGGGAAGCTGGCCAAGCTCTTCTCCGCTTGCTGAAAGCGTACTGGGGACCATCTGCCCCTGTTCCAGACCCCAGTGTGAAGTCCCATCGGACAGAGGGCCTCCTCCTGCTGCCTCGTGGGCGAAATGAGCTCAGGTTGAGGCCCTTCTTCATTCATCTTTTTATTGGCCCTTGTGGGGTGCAGCAAGTTGAGTCCAGGTATTAAATGAAATGTCCAGGGCCGGATTCTGCTGCCTGGGACACGGTGGTGAAGCTGGCACAACTCCAGGGACTGCCGCACGTCTACGCGGGCACAAGTGAGAGCAGAACCTGGCCTGAGGGATTTGCAAAGTCTCCCCCTCAGACACAATAAGCTGAGCTGCAGCATCTCACCCGCTGAAAAAGGCAACGGACGCTTCAGTGACGAGACTGATGTACCGTTTTAGTAAGGAGCATTAGGAGAGCTTGAAAAGAGCTGGCTGGGATCCCAACAGTGCAGCCTCAGTGGCTAGGGAGAGCCCCTTTTGTTGATTACCTGTTCTTATTAGATGGCATGGCCTGCGGGCTTCTAAGGATCTGGCCCTTCAAGAAAAGCAGGAATCAGTACAATAGCAGCACCACTCCTCAGACAGAGAGCCTGACCTACCAGCTCTTTCTAGATCCCTCTTTGCCATTAATAATCTCAGCTGACATGCATGGTGCATCGCCTGTCACTGCAAAACGGCAGCAGGTCCTCTTGCCCACGGATGTGATTCTGCAGGCTTTATGTTCAGATTGGGTGTCTCTCTAAAAGCTACACCACAGCGCAACCAGAAGTTACGGGCTTGAGGTTCTCTGGTCTATGACTCAGGAAGTCAGACAAGATGGTCACGATGGTTCCTTCTGACCTTCACATTTATCAGACTGTGAATCTGAGGAAGTCCCTCTGCAGGGATTTGTTCCTAAATATGAGCCCTGGTTGAAAACTTTCCATCTAAACTATTTTTCCCCCCCAAGGGAAAATTGGGTTTTCGACAAAACCCAAATCTTTGATTTTTTTTGGTCTGAAGATTGAAAAGCCGGAAATAAAATCACGGTTTGGTTTGTAGCTGAAGATGTGTTATGGGTGAAAAAAATCCTTCAACAAAAAGTTAACATTTGCTGCTGAAAATTTTAGGAAAAATTAAACTTTTTTGCTTTTATCAAAATTTTCCATGAGGGAGAAAAAGCCATTTTCCAACCAGTTCTTCAAAATATGCAAATCAACCGAAAAGTCACCTATATAATGATGCTCTTAGCTTAAACAATGAGATTTCCCACCTCTCGGGGATAATTCTTTGGGGGATTTTCTGACATTTATATTCTAAACAGAGAAGAGGAGAGAAAAAAGGATACAGCCAGAAAGAGCTTTATTATAGGTTGGCTAACCCCACTGAGATCAGCAGAGAACAGTGAGTTCCTATGTGTGGATTCCCCTGCATTAGACAGTTTAAGGTTTTACATGTTTCCCTCTGGCTGATGGCTGCATCGTGCGCCCGTCGCGATTCCGTGAATCGAAATCCAGATGAGCGTATAAGATTCCACCCTGTTTGGCGACATTTAATAAAATTAGCCACCTCCTTGTAAAATGAAATGATACAAGCAGAGACAGACTGGAACAGGCAAGTGAGTTTAGCATCCATTGACCTTACTAAAAATTCCCTCCTGTCTCTTATTCTCCCACTTTTCCTATAAATGGTGTGTGTTATGAAAATGGACAGTGCCATGTGACTTTAAGAACTCAGTGATAACATTTGGCTCTGCTCAGGCCTGATGTGCAGGTCACGGAAATAATGAAAACTCTCCGGTTCATTTCAGTTAGCTTTGGATCAGGTCTCAAGCACTTTTCATTGTTGAGAATCTTAATGTTCTTTTCCAGTACTATCAATTATTATTATTTGTTTGTTAAGTGCCAGCACTATGCCCTGCTCTGTATAAGACACAAAGGCTCAGATCTTCAAAGTATGTATATGCCCAACTATGGGAGGGAGGCACCTAAATACCTTTGACAATCTGGGCCAAAGCGAAGACGAACTGCTCTGAAAGAGTGTACAGTCTGAAACACTAATAAATTAAATGTCCTAGTATCCATGTGAATTAGGTCTTGTTATCTCTTTTTGTATACTTGGGGAAACCGAGGCATGGAGCAGTTAAGTGATTTGCCGAATGGCCAAGTCTGTTAGAAGCTGGGCTGGAAACAACACTTGTAGGCCTCTAATGCGCTAAGGCGATTTACCCATTAGAAATACCTGAGACAAACACAATTAGACTGAGATCATTTGTAACGTGACGTACCTGGTTCTCCTGCGAAGCTGGAGGTGCTGAGCTCCTGGGCTGGAATCCTGGAACAGACAGACAGAGACAACGGTAAAAGTTCCTCTTCCACAGTCACTCCCCCAAGCTGTAAGGTTCACTGACTAATGGTGCATCCGAGCTGTGGGTGCCCAGTGCACCACCATGCATGGCACATGGAGAGGGGCTCATTTGAAAGGCTAGTGCTCTTTGTGAACTATACACAAGCAGCCTGGGCCATGGGCATTGCTCCCTTTGTCATGGAGAACAAAGCCGTTCTTCCGACACAGGAAAGTCACATTCTGAGCTCAGACTTGGTGCTCATGAGATTTACCGTGTGTCCGTGTAGCACATGGGGTAACACTTGTAATCCCCAGGAGGAGGGATGGAGTGGGATCGCTCTCTGCAGGAGAATGTTGGGGATGGGCAGTGCTTATTACCTAGCCTGGAAGGGCAGAGGGTCCAGATGAGACTCAGAGACACCATCAACAGCATCAGGGCGCTCAGCACCGCCAGGGACACAATGGAAGGTAGGCAACTACTGGCATGGGCTGTGGAGGTGGCTAAAAGAAAGACAAAAAAGGCTTCCTTCAGCAGTCCTGCCTACACCCTTCCAAGAGGCAGTGTGGCCTAATGGATAGAAGACAGGGACTCAGGAAACCTGGGGTCTGCTCCCAGCTCTGCCATTGGCCTGCTGGGTGAGCGTGGACACATCACAACTACTCTCTGTGCCTCAGTTTCCCAATCTATAAAATGAGGCTAGTGATACTGACCTCCTTTGTAAAGTGCTTTGAGATCGACTGGTGTACTAGGTCAGAATTAGACATGTTCTGTGATCCTGTTCCCCATTTCACCACCTGTTTTACTCTCTAAAGAGTGAGGCTACAGGAGCCTTCAGCACCTTTCACCCTCTCCGTTGTTCCCTTTTTGTTAGGCCAATGATTTTTCCTGTAATCAGAATCTTCTCTGCACCTCCTGCCGTCTATAAAATCCTCCCTGTATGTCTCTCCATCATTTTGCATATCTCACTGGAAAACATCTCTCTTCTCAAATGCTTCTGAATTCCCCTTTACTCCTGGGATTTATTATTATTTAACTCTTTACAGTGCTTTATATGGACAGTCTGGGAGAAAGCTGCCCTAGAAATCAGAGCTATGTTGTCTTGTAGTCCCTGTAACACCTCAATTTACTTTTCCCCAAATTCTCTGGAGAAATTCTAATGAAGCCATAGAATATTCCAAATTTCTGTAATGGAAAATCACATAGAAGCAGCTCTCATCTTGGTCACATGCATATTTTACATCTGAGTTTCCATTACCTTTAAATATCGTATCACTCACCTGCAGGATACCTGGTACTTTTCTTCACACTGTTGCCGGAAGAGTTGAATTTGACTTCACAGGTGAAATTCTTCCCACTGGTCCAGGTGTCCATGGGGACGCTGATGTGATTTATGAGGGTTAAAGATCCATCCTTTGCTTTCAATGAGCGTGTCAGCCCCTGTTCCTGCAGCTCCCCAGAAACACTCCAGGAAACATGGACTGGGCTGGACACTCCATGGATCACACAAGCCAGATTCGCTGTCCTAGTGACTTGACTGTCACGTGGAAATGGGACCAGAAGCATCACCCAGCTGGTGTTGGTAAAACTGTCTGAGCAGAAGGAGGTGACGAATTCAGTGTGATGATCAGATGAGCTGCAGTCTGATTAAAGATGTTAATCTTTCACTAAGAGACAAGGTGGGTGAGGTAAAATCTTGTATGGGACCAACTTTCTATTGGTGAGAGAGACAAGCATTCGAGCTTCCACAGAGCTCTTCTTCAGATCAGGGAAATATATTCAGAGTGTCATTTCCCAGACATGAAGAAGAGCTCTGTGGAAGCTCGAAAGCTCGTCTCTCTCAGCAACAGAAGTTGGTCCCAGAAAAGATATTACCTCACCCACCTTGTCTCTCTAATATCCTGGGTCCAAGACAGCTACAACACCACGGCATGCTATCATTCCCTATGACATTAATTCGAAGCAACAAATCTATTTTGAAGAAGAAAATGGGAAATCACCACGCCAGCACTAATTAGGATATAGAGCAATACGTAGCTGCACTACCTAGTAGGAAACATTTTGTGCAATTTTATGAATTTAATTGACTTTTTTTTTTTACTGGAAATATTGTTTCATGCCATCATGGCTCTTAGGTTAGAAATATTCCCAACCTGGGTGCCTTGAACAGTCACAGAGAAACGTCAGTAGTTTATTTTCAGCACTTGCAAGTTTTAACATTTTTGGTTAAAACTTATTCGTTCTGCACCCAGAACATTTAATGTTTAGCTGATCTGTTTGGCTTGAAGTATGCTTTCTCTTTAGCCATTCAGCAATAACTATGGTATCTTGTCACATTTTAATGGGAACATGAAATACGCTTTATCTATCAGTTGTTAGTCTCCTTAAACAAGCTATGGTTCCTTACCTCCAACAATCAGTGTGGTTCCATTCCCGAAAAGCAGGTAGCTGGTAATTCTAACTGCACAGTAGTAAATGCCAGTCTCAGTCTTTTGGACATTGCTGATTTCCAGTGTCGAGCTGTGTGTCTCGTGTTTGCAAGCAAATTTACTTACATTTTGATCATCCAAACAGCTCTTAATGCAGGTGGGTGTCTCACCTTCTCTTCTCAAATACCATAATATGCTACTTCCTCCTTCCAAGTTTTCTGTGGAAGAACAGTGGATCTTTGCGGTGTCACTAACTTCAACAGACTGGATCCGCTGAGTCTGGTACAGAAATAACTGCACTCCTAGCACTGGAGAAATAAAATATCGTCATAGTCAGTGTTCACCAGGTCTCCAACTGCCACAGATGGAATGGATAGCTCAGCACTAGAATTTACTTAATCTGATTATATTTATGCTCTGCACCCTAAAGGCTAAAAAAGCTGCTCTAACATTTGTACAAATGAATGGAAATGCAATTAAAATCCTGCAAAAGTTTCCAAACATATCATAGATATTCAACACTGATGTCTCACTGAAGAGGCTGTTTTCTCAATTCCAAAATTTAATGCAGAAGTTTTACCTAAGGAAGATAAAATGAGGTATTTCGCCAAGATCATTTTAATAAAAGAGTCGGACAAAATCCTGACTCACTAGCCCCAAGGCTGATGCCCAGTGTACTGCTGCAGTGACGGGGTACAGTGTCCAGTGAGGAACGCCTCCGAGGAGGATGTGCTGTTGTGACAAACACAAGATGGGTGGGTTTAAGAATCTACAGAGGCTACAGCATTTCTTGTAGAATTTGTCTGGATTCCAGCGGTGCAGAGGTGCACTAGATGATCTGGAATAATTTTAAATATCCAGCACATGGATGTTCTATAGAAACAAACCCACATGACTTCAGAGCACAAGTCTCATTGATTTTCAAAGGAAAATGCTCCGACATCACTTAGTTCTTTTGACCTAAGTCTCTCCCCAGCTTTCCATGTGCGGGCCGCTGTTGCACCATACTTCTTGGTGCTGCAATTCAGGCACGTAATGACCATTTGGCATCTTCTCGTGGCGGACTTAAATTGCGCTTTAAATCATCAAACCGAAAGCTCTGACATGTTTGAGACATAAGACAATGAAGGATACAATGTTCAAAAGTGACTTAGGGCCAGATTTTCAAAGGTATTTAGGTGCCTATAACTGCAGACAGGTGCCCAGTGGGATTTTCAAACATGGCTAAGAGGGTTAGGTGCCTCACTCCTACTGAAGTCAATGGAAGTTAAGTGCCTCCCCCTGGATCTAGCAATAAACTGGATAAAAATGAGCTGAATAGGGCTGGTTCGAAAGCTGCATCTGGCTACACAAAGCAGGAAAAGAGAAGTAAAGTGCATCTGTCAATGTCCCTTCTGAAACAGCGGATAATAGAGGGCAACATGGGCTAGTGATTAGAGCGACTGGCTCAAAAAAGAACAGATTCCCTAGGTGACTTGACCACATCTCCTTAGACCACACCCCACTCCTGAGGCTGCTCTGGCTGGCTGCAGCTCCTCTGGATCGATCTGTCACAAACTCCTTCCAGGCAGCTCTCTAAAGCTGGGGACCATCGTCCTTCCTTCCTTCCCTTCTACCCTGTCCTTCCTTCCTTCCCTTCTACCCTCCCCTGCCTTCCTCCCCCACATGGCTGGGGAGCGACCTGGGCTAAATCCTGCAGTCCCTGACTGAGGCAGTGTTAAGTGGAAGCAGGTGTTTAAAGGATGACTGGACTGGCCAAGATTCTGCCTGATTTCTAGCCCAAGGGCATTACTCACAATTACACAGCTTCCCCTTTGCACCAATGTAAGGAGGAGTTTAGAGGAGCAGAAATTACACTCACACCCACTTCCAGGCCCCTGTGCGTTACCGTGGTAGAAAGGGGCTTAGTGCAAATGAGAATCCGGTCCCCAGGGTCGCTGTTAAGGGGCTGAATGTTGTCAGTGGTTGTACAAATAAGACCATGGAAATCATAATGCTATTCAAGCACAATGTCTCCCCAGCTCAGTTCCTGTAAGGGCCTGTTATAACTCTCCCAGTAACACTGATTGACAAGGGTACAAAGCCCTATTTGCAATGTACAGTGCTTTAAGGAACTGAAGGTAGATGCTGAGCCTAACAGCAGCTGAGCACCCACCACTCCCCTTGACTTTGCTGAGTGTGGCAGCTGCCCAGCATGTCAGAGCAAGTCCCTCAGCACCATGTAGGATTAGGCCCTTATGCTGTGTTACTCCTGGGGGAATTCTGCACCACTGCACGGTGCAGAATTTATGTTCCCCGCAGATTTCTTTGCTTCCCAGCAGAAAAATGACTTTCTGACAGGGAGGCAAAGGGAAGCCACAAAAGCAGTCATGCGACCCTTCCCAGCAGTATATTTTGGGGGGCCAGAGCAGCCAGCAGAGAGGTGAATCACTGTGGGGCAGGAGGCAGGACTGGGGAAGACCCGGCTGGTGATTCCTAGCCTGTATTGGGCTCAGCTACTAGTCCCAGCTATGCTCGGGAGGATGGGACTTCCTCTTCCCCTGCATGGCATCAGACCCACCCCCAGATTTATCCCCCAGCTGCAGGAAGCTCTGAAAAGTCCCCCCCCCCCCCCTCGCTTCCTGCACCAATTACTCCTCAGCTGCAGGGGGAGGGATCCCTGTATAGAGAGCTGCTCCCCCATCCACCCAATCCCTGTGCATCCAGACCCCCTCATACTCAGACCCTCCCACCAAGCCTCATACCCCACACTCAGAACCGCCCCCTCACCAAGTCCCACTCCCCCTGCACCTGGACCACCCTGACAAGCCACCTGCACCCCATCCCCAGTCCACTGAGCCTCAACAAGCTGCACCTGGATCCCCTTCCCCACCTCACTGAGCGCCATTCCCCCAGCATCTGGACCCCCCACTGAGTCCCCACACCCAGACCCTCCTGATGAGCTCTATCCCCTCACAACCCAGACCCCCCCTCATGAGCCCCAACCACCTTCACCTGGACCCCCCTGCAGAGTCCTATTACTGTTGCACCCAGAACCCCCCCAACGAGCCCCTATGTATCCAGATCCCCCCACTGCACTCGGATCCCCCACTGAGCCGCCCGCACCCAGAATGCCCCACACAGCCTCTGAACCCTCACCTAGATCCCTGCACCCTAAGCCCCTCCACACTTGGATCCTGCCATGCTGAGCCTGCCTGCCCACACCTGGTGCACCTGGCATGGATGGGCAGGGCCCTGGGGCGTTTCTGGGGCAGGCCTTGTCCTTGCACTGTGCGGGTGGGGCGGGGCAGCTGTTTGACAGCCCCACAGCAACACAGCACAGTGGCGTAGGGCAGGAAGTGAAACGGCGCAATGTAGCCAACTGTAGCTGCAGGAGCAATTTTACACTTTTAATGACCAGACTGGGGCAGAAAATGGATTTCCCACCCCACACAAATGTTCAAGAGATCAAAAAATGGTCCTGACTCGAACTAAGATGAAAAGTCAAAATTTTCTTGAATCAAAAATCATTTTTGGTTTGGGTGAAAGGACACATTTTGGGATGTTTCCTTTCTGTTTTGACCATATACAATTATGATCAACTGTACAATTTTGTTCAACTATAATTGCTTCAACTTCTAAGCAAGATGTCATCCTGAACTCGAGAACCGGAATTTTTCATTTTGCAATTCTGAAACTTTTCTTCTTGTAAAAAACATCAAACTGCCCTTTTCTCTTGAGGGGGGGGATAAAAATCTCCCTTTCAACAAGCAGGCATTTTCTGACAAAGAAATGTTTCCTCCCAAGACTCTTGACCAGCTCGAGTAATAACTCAAATGGGACATTGGCCAAGGAACCAGAGCCAGTTACTCTTGTCTTGCTGAAAGCACTGTCAGGGACTGCAAGTCACTGTTCATTCAAGACTTCAATTTGAAGGCTCAGTGGAAATCTGGGCCTTCCTGCAGCCCCGTTCGGTTCAGTACGTAGAGAAACATGAGATCATATTCTGGCCTTAGTCATTCATTTTTTATTAGCACTCTGATTCACAGAAATGTCAGGCTAGAAGGGACCTCAACAAGTCATCAAGTCCCAGACCAAGTAAACCTAGACCATGCCTGACAGGTGTTTGTCCAGCCTGTTCTTAAAAACCTCCAATGACGGGGATTCCACAACCTCCCTTGGACACCTGTTCCAGAGCTGAACTAACCTTGGAGTTAGCAAGATTTTCCTAATATCTCACCTAAATCTCCCTTGCTGCAGATTAAGCCCATAACTTTTTGTCCTTCTTCCAGTGGGCATGGAGAACAATCGATCACCGTCCTCTGTAAAACAGCCCTTACCCTATGTGTGTGTAACAAGTCGCATGACACACATTTGTTGGGTCATCCTTCAAAAGAAACACAGATGCTAAGAGGAATAGAAAGGACCGGATTCTGCTCTCAGAGACACTGGTGTAAATCCGGGGGTAACTCCACTGAGCTCCTCCAGGTTTACACTGCTGCAAACCAGAGCAGAATCTGGCCTAAAGGATTTAAGAGGGCACCTTTCTTATTACACAATAAGCTGAGCTTGATGCATTGACCAGGTAAAAGAGGCAACACAAATATCACTAATTGCATTTCTATCACTTTTTAATGAGTGACAGTTTGAACGACAGCTTGAAGAACAACAAGTTGTGATGCAAACAGGCAGCGCGAGCAGGCTCAGGCACCAGGAGAGCTCCAGTCATTGGTAACATGTTGTTCTCATTAGATGGCGCAGAGGGGCTGGAACAGAGGGCTCTGTGGATCTCGCCTTTGGGGAAAACCAGCAGACTCTAGAGCAGCGTTTCTCAACCTTTTGGATACCAGGGCCCGCCTGGCTGCCTTCCTAAACTGTGTCAGGGAGATCTCAGGGACCGGCACCAGCCCATGGACCGGTCGTTGAGAAACACTGCTCCAGAGGAAGCACTGGACTAGCAGCTCCAGCCCTGGCCTGGGGAGAGATTCTCACCCCTCCCAGCTCCTGCATCCATCCTTCCCCTTCCCAATCCCATTGCATGACCATGTAACGTTACAGCTGAGAATCAGGGGAGCTGGGAGCTGTGGCGTATACAGGGGCTGCACATCCCCTCTGCAGGCTCCTGCCATCCGGCCTCACTTTTTGTGCAGGGAAGCTGCAGCCATTCAGCTGTGTCTGGGTCTCTGTGCAGATGAGGGGAGGGTGATGATGACAATTATTGTGTTACCATAGCACCATTGTGCTCGGCGCGGCACAAACACAGATCAAAGAGACCAGACCTGCCCCAAAGAGCTTCCAATCTCATACACAATCTACACCATGATGCCTTTATATCCCGA